GCAAGAGGTTACTAAACTAAGTCTAAACAAACGACAGTATATATAACAGAGCTAATTGTTTCAGACCAAAACATGTCAATCACGGGTGGATTCAGTCCAAAATATATAAGGTTCATACCCTTTAAAATAAACAGATCTGTGCAGCTTTATATACGCAGAGGAGTAACCCTTTCCTACTTCTATAAAGTAGTGAAAGTTTTCCACTTTAGTAAACCTTGTCAAACGGAATCTCCAGTCACGGAAAAACATGTTCAAGAGTTCTACTTATTTTACACTATGCAACATTTTCGTTTATTTCGCCTTTCGTTCGTCATCAGTGCAGCTCTCACAGCCGTTGTAAATACATCTCTTACTCCCTCTTTTGTTTTAGCAGAACATTCTAGGTAAGCATAGGCCTTGATTCTTTCACACATTAAAGATCCTTCTTCACTTTTTACAGGCTCTTGTTTCATCTTTGATAACTCTCTCTTTGTGCTTTCGTCATTTCTCAGATCTTTCTTGTTACCGACCAAAATAATTGGTACATCTGGGCAGAAATGCCTGACTTCAGGAGTCCATTTTTCAAGGACTTTGGCTAAACTCTCAGGACTGTCAATGGAGAAGCACATCAGAAAAACATCAGTGTCAGGATAGGAGAGAGGTCGTAGCCTGTCATATTCTTCGTCTCCCACCGTATCCCAAAATGCTAGCTCTACTGTCTTGCCATCAACTCTGATATCACAAACATGACTCTCAAAAACTCTTGGCACGTACTCCACAGGGAATCGATCTCTGACGAACGTTGTGTAAAGGCAGGTTTTTCCACAGGAACTATCACCTACAGTGACAATCTTTTTTCTAATCGGTCTGTTGGCTGCCATCTTTTCTGAAACAAAGTAAACGTTTTATTATACATAATACTTAAAGGAAATCTTGGCTAAAAAACAGTTTTGTCTCAAATCACAAGCTGGTGTTTGTGCTAAACTGTTTGAGCAATTTGGAGTCGATAATTCTCTACCTATTTTGAATGCTCGGCTATTGCTTTGAGCTATTTTTAGGATTTCAAATTTCCCACGTGCTGCCATGTATATTTTTGTAAAGCTTGATGGGACATTATGATATCAATGCGCGGTTGAACGTTTTTAAACTTGGAAAATATTATTTTCCAAGTTGTAGTGGTGGAACGATTTCACTCCATCACTCCTTCACTTCTTCACTTCCCGTTAGACATTTGGAAACCGGGAGGGGCACTCCCACATGAAAAGGCAAGGGATGCTCGTCGGAAAATATGAATTTAACTCCTAAGGGAGACTATTGTGGACGTTGCTTGAGCTTCATTAGACCCCTAAAAAATACCAATTCAAACGGAATAGGTTCGATCACTAGCCACTGTTCAAGAAACGATCCCTCGCGCACTTGTAGACCCGACTCGCGTACTCGAGAGATCAGCGGAAATCAAGCCTGAAAACAGAAATTAAGATGATTTCCGCAGAACATTCGAGCAATAATGGAAAAAATTAAGTCACCAAAAAAAACTCATGGCATGGTATTATTTTGAATACAGTTAAGAAGAACTTATCGAGACTTAAGCTCTCGAGCTGACCCCGCGAGAGAAAATTGAACTTGAAGTTATCTATATTTCACTTAAAACAGACGTTTCGCTTTAGTTACAAACACACGCTTTTTAGTATTCGTAGGAGGTTTGACATTAACTTTCTCGAGAATGCTTGAGAATTTAATTGCGGGGTCACTTAGAGAAATGAACTAAAGTTAGTCGTTTTCAATAGCATTCCAAAAGTTACCGTGCTATGAGTAGGTTTTTAGCAAATACTTTTTGCACTTATTGCTCGAACTTTGAGCGGAATCCGTCTTAAATGAGAGTGTTTCTTTTGTTATTAATTCATCGAGTGCACCCTAAAGGACAACTAAAAATGGCGACCTTTCGTCATCAACACCCTAAGAGACCAGAACCCTTGATTTGTACCCGAGACGACTAGCATCTCCGGACCTTTTCATATAGGAGTCCCCCTCCCCCACCCCCCTTTTGGGTTTCGAACATCAGCCGTCGAAGGCCGTTTTACAGTTGCTTACAGAGTGTCAAGTTAGTTATGTTCGAGAGGTAGAAGGTATAACGATTTTTTCATTGTAAGGAAAATAGTTATGGTTCTTCCTTAGCGATTCGATTCAGGGAAAGTCTTCGTATTTTTTTCTTCCCAAACCTACGTGATATTGTGAGTTCGAAAGCAATCAATATAAACGAATGATTTAATGCTCCAGACGATTTTTTTAACACAATAAACGGAAAGACAAACGCTACCTTTCGGTAAAAGGTTTCTTGACAGAAAAAGAAAAAAACAATGAAGAAGAAAAAGAAAAAGAATCTGTCATCACCAGTGGAGTTCACACTCCCAACGTCTCGCATGGCGACCAGCGCTTATTACAATGCGCAGTTAGCGGAAAGAGAAAATCTAATTATTTACTTACGTACCGCAGGCTCAAGTGTTTCGCTCGGTCTATACCTCACTTTTGACCAAACAAAATGATCTAGCCGTTTTTGACTACAGTACTAGGAAGACATGTACAGATCCATGCAATGTGAAACGTGTACGCAGGTCTGAGTAACAAACAAATTTTTAACGTTGAACTTTTTCATTTGGCAAATATCGCAACACACCCCTGAGTGGAAAAAGGCCGCGTGCGAGTATGGGCTTGTTCGAAAGCTAGACTGCCCCTCACGTCACAAGTATTCCCTTAATGAGCAATGCCTCATAACACCCTTTCATGATTTATTTTCCAAGTTCAGTGGCTCACAGCCACATTGCTTGAATCTAGAGATATAAAAGTGCTAGCACTTATTTACAATTCACATTCCAGATGAATAAGTTCAGAAATCGTCTTCTGTAGACTCCATATCTCTGACCGCACAATGACGTCATAAATTACCATAAAATCAACATGGCGACGGCCAGGTGATTTAAACTGAATTGAAAACCAAACACTTCATATTCTAACCACTTACAGAGATGTCAACTTAAAACCCCGGGATCAGTTAGGGAGAACCATTAGGTATACTTTGGAATATGAACTGCTTTTCAGCCAAGTTTCCCTTTAATGTGGTAGAACCGTTTCATCTAATGTGTTTATTTTCCATATCTTTGTCACGCTGTGTGTACACATAGGAGAACAACTCGTACGTAAATAGACATTTTGACTGAATCGGTAAATACGCGGTCAGCTGGTGCGAGCCTGGACTGCGAGCAGTCTCTCTTTTCCTCGAAAATCCGTGAGGAACAACGCAAAACAAGTGAGCCTGCGAGCGTGACCGTGAGCGTAATGTGCGAGCGGCTCAGACGCTTACTTGTTTTGCGTTCTTTCCCACGGATTTTCGAAGAAAGGAGAGACTCGGCTCGCAGTCTAGTGAGAGCCGAGTAGACTCCGAGTGGAAGCCGATAAATTTCGGAAATTCTCGGGTCAACCGTGTCATTAGGGTAACTTGCCTGAAGTTGGAGCGTTGTTTTTGTAGCAAACAAATTCCAACCTACCTTTCCACAATCAAGGAAGCCTCCCGTTACAGACACTGTGTACCTACAGCAGTCGAAGAACTCAGAAAATGACAAACAGTAGGCCAACCACCTTCAATTTATACTCTCAGAGTACATGTAGTTCCGTAGGTTTCCCCTAATGCAATGAGGTCAGCACCTCATTGCATTAGGGGAAACCCCCTTGGTAATGAGTTGGTTTATTTCGTCATCCTGGATCAGATTCTTCAAAACCAGGCCAAGAGAAGATCTGTGAATACAAGCAGTACAAGTCTTGAACACTGCAGTCCCGTTTTATTCTGTACTGGCCATTTGCGAGTCCTATCTTAACCTGAAGCATAGAAATTGAAATGAATTTCGTAATTCGTCAAGCCGCGCTATGGATTCGTCACGCAATCCTTCCTAGGAGTTAACAGGAGCGGAAAAATGCTTTTATTCCTTTCTGGTTTCAAAGAATTTCTCACTTAATTGTTTTTTTTTCTGAAATATTGGATATTGCTTTTTAGCAACCTTTCTCTTAGTATCCGTCTACATATCTGCTTATAGGGAAACTTTTCATTGGAAAGACGTGTTTTCTAAAAATAGTAGCAGATATATCAGACTGTCTGAAATGTACTTTGGCGCACTGTGATCATGTTTAGGAGCCTCGAAATGGTCCTTAATCGTGATATCAAACAAAATTTCGATGTATTCGAACCCGAAACAAATCTTGCAAATACTTTTCCTTTGAATTTAGTTGTTTTCAACTGCACTGTTATCGATTACGCGAAACTCTTTGTTGTCACTCTCCATTTTGTTCATGAATACGTGACAAGCTTTAGGGTGTAGCGTGACAAAAATGCTGACGTTATTTCCGCTTGGTAACTTCCTCTCTAAAAAGGGGACGTGAGCAGAATTAGAAATAGTACTCTCAAACATCACTGAATTTACTGAGCCCCAAGGAATGGGGCTTCTAGAGTTCAAAGGCTTCAAGTGAAAAAAATATGAACTTGGCTGGTAGCTGCAGTGGCTAACAATGGTTGTCGCACACACTAACGGAGCTCAGTCACGGTGTTTTGAAAAATTGACGGAAAGCTGAAAATAGTAGTTTACTAAGATAGAAAAACACCAAAAAGAAAATAATAAATCATAGAGGAACAAGGATGGTTAAGGATTGATAAGATTGGCACGGATTATGAATAAATTACTATATTTAGAGAGGAAGCCACATCAGCCTTGATTTTCACGCGGGTCCTCAATCCTGGTCGAATTGGAATTTGGAGTGTTGGTTTTTGTGGAGGGAGGAAAAACTGAAGAACACGGAGAAAAACCCTCGGGGCAAGGCGAGAACCAACAGCAGACTCAACCCACATATGACACCGGGCCAGAATCGAACCCAGGCCACATAGGTGCGAGGCAAGCGCTCTCACCAATGTCCCATCCCTGCTCCCCGACGAACGACGAACTTGAAAAATTGAGATAAAATTTCGTTAAACGACGAGCATGAAAAATTTAGGCTTAAGTTTTCAAGATACGCAAGCCGTGACATAGCTCCCTTAACTACACACAAATAGCATGAAAATTTAGCAACGCTTTCCGGCGAATCAAACGCTCTCAGATTTGATCAGTAAAATGTGTTGACATAATTGTTTCTGCGAGTACTGGATGCAAAGGTATCGCATTTTTTTACCTTTGTATCTCGTTCTTTGTATTTTGGAACAGAATTAAACATTGTCTTTGAATCATTAATTTTGTTTTACGTCATCTGCGACCGGTTCCTACAGAAGGAACTTCGGTATCTTAGCTGTCACAGATCAAATGATACAGAAACTACTTGCATAAGTTTACTTCCCTTTCCCTGTTTTTCGCCCATATTTAATTTTCCATCATTCAAAATTGGCGTTTACAAGATCAACACATATATCAAGCCAACATTTCTTGTATAACAACAACGAAACAACAAGCCCTCCGCCCCACCCCCTATCCCACCGCGGCGGGATTCCCATTGTGTCCCGCAAGAAGTTGTGCCATATAATGAAACCCTTACTGACGAACCTTGTTCGGTCAAGATGGCTGGATATTGGCCTCGTTTTCTTTTCATGTGTGTATGAATCTCGAGTAAATTTCGGTCCATAAAAACGCAAAAAAGGCCAATAACTAGCCATCTTGACCTCACGCTTGGTCAATAACCCACGTGTTTTAGTCTGTTTACTTTTAAAATAATGGTCAAAACGGGAACTGACCGTCAGTCAGGGAATGTTCTGAACATGTTCTTAAAATTTTGGTTCATCTCAGCATTAATATAATTAGAATTAATTATTTCAGACCAAAACATGGCAGTGGTGGATACAGACCAAAATATATTGGGTTCATACTCTTTAGAATAAAACATTTCTGTGCGGCTTCCTATACATAGAGGAGTAACTTTTCACTACCTATATAAATGGCAGGCAAATTAAATATATCATGGAATTAATTTTTATTAAACAGTTTGAACAGTGTTGAAATGTTGTTGATGTTTAAGCAGATCAAAGTTACATAGAGAACAGACAATGAAATTCTAACGCTATTTTTGTTTCCATCATTTGCAATGAAGCAGAATATGATCTTTGTTTGAAATTAGGACGGGAATATTTTCAGCCTAAATTAAGCCTTCACAAGTTCATGGCGCCTATCTAAGAACTAAAACGTTAAAACACGCGTGAAAGCCACACCACCAGGGTCCACCAGTGGGGCTAGTTTTGCTTCAAGCTTCTAATTAGTTAGCAAAAACTCTGGCTTAGCTGTGATTGGTCAGAAATGTTTTACGATTTCTTAGTTGATCAAACAGCTCAGGATTGGCCGGGGGGCGGGGGGAGGGCTCAGCAAACGGCAGTCAATTGAAAGTTCAGTTCGCCACTCGGGAGGGGAGAACTAAGGTTTTACATTCGACAGCCTCAGGAGAGAAAGTCGTGTCATGCAATCAACTCTGGCTTGCAAACCTCCTGAAACAAGTTCAACGGTTTTTACATAATACGGCATTTTCGTTGATACCACTTTTTCTTCTTCTTAAGCGCAGCTTTCGCAGCCGTTTCAAACACAACTCTTACTCCCTCTTTTGTTTTAGCAGAACATTCCAGGTAATCGTAGGCCTCAATCCTGTCACACATTAAAGATCCTTCGTCGCTCGTAACTGGCTTTTGTTTCGTCTTGGACAACTCTCCCTTTATATATTCATCATTTCTCAGATCTTTCTTGTTACCAACCAAAATGATTGGTACTTTAGGGCAGAAATGTCTAACTTCAGGAGCCCATCTTTCGGAAATGTTCGCTAAACTGTCAGGATTATCAATGGAGAAGCACATCAGAATAACATCAGTGTCGGGATAGGAGAGAGGTCGCAGCCTGTCGTAACTTTCTTGTCCCGCTGTATCCCACAACACAAGCTCTACTAACTTGCCATTCACTTCAATCTCGGTCAGGTAGTTGTCGAAAACTGTGGGCTCGTGAAAATCGGGAAACTCATCTTTGGAGAAAACAAAGAGAAGGCTTGTCTTTCCACAGGCACCATCACCTACAATAACCAGCTTTTTTCTTATGCTTGCCATGTTGAATCTTCAGCTTTATATGCTAAGTAGAGAAAACAACATAAATATTAGCATAGGAACAAATTTATCATCTCCCATTTTAGATTAAAACTCTATATTAAAGGCTTGAAAAAATATAGCGTCCACTCTTTTTTAATAAGAATATACTTATTCTTCTGCTGATTTTAGGGTGAAAATATTCTTGAGAATATTCTTAGATTATAGCGTATGACATTTCTGTTTTTGAATGTATTTGGTTTATGAATGGTGTTAAAGCAATTTTGCAGCCATCCTGCAGGCATTTAAAACTGATATCACGCACATAACTTCTTGTAGAAATGTTAACGGCTAGTGTTGTTTCCGTTGTTTTTTTGGCCAGTTTTGCCATTTAGAGAAAGGAAGAATGTTATACGGTTTAGTTAATTAAACACATATAATTGTATTGTATTTACAAATTTCCAACACACAAAATGATATTCTTTTCAAAATCTCAGCCTCGGGTTAATTCTTAAAATATTCTTAAAATTTCGGAAATTTCAGCCTCGATATTCTTTTAAAATATATTCTGATAAAAGAAAAGCAAGAGCGTAATTTTCCTGGGATTACACGGTGCAGAGAATTCTTATATTCTAATCGGCCAATGGAGCGACCGAGCACCGAGTCATATAACCGTAACATTACTACTTTGCACTGAAGGAGCATTCGCTCCATGGAAATAAGTTATCAGTGATGCCGAGAATTAAAATGAATTTCACGCTCAGTTAATATTTAATTAATTCGCTTGCAAAACCGACTTCATAGCTACCGCTGTCTGTACTATTGATCGAAGCATAATTCAACCTACCTTTACTCCTTCACAGATGTCGTGTACTTAACTCGACGAACTCAACAAATAACCATTAACAGTTGGCCAGCCACATTCAATTTATCTTGTCAGAGATAGTTCCCTATTTCAAGGTGCTGACCTCATCTCAGGGAAAACCTCACGGGCTTATTTATCCTCTGATTTGATTCGTCAGAACACAATAGATTTCACACATCACCAAATTTTCCTGTTTTATTCTGGACCAGCCATATAAAAACCGGCCCGCGCTACACAAACCTTTGCTTTGTGGAATTGGTTAGTTCTTCGGTTAACGAGAACGAAATATTTTTGTCCCACCACAAAGTCCTCCGAGGTTTAAAATCTCTTACTACTAGTTTTCGCTTGTTTCATTTGCATTGACGTTTGCTGAGAGCCCATTTTGCATATCTACTTATAACAAAGCTTTTCATTGGACACACGTGTGTTCTAAAAATAGTCACAGATATAAACATGTCCGAATTCTGCAGTGGACTCATTTCACTCCAAAGCCGGATGAAATCCTGAACAAGGTTTTTAACCGTAACAAGTTTGAGCGCGGATAAATAGCGAAATCAAGACAATTTGAAGCACACATACCCGAAATAAATTAGTTTTTAGTTTGAATTACTTTTTCTGCTCCATATCTCTGGCGCCTCATTTCGCTTCTGATTGCGTGACAAGAGCCGTGACAAACACGACGTGGGTTTTCAATAGATAACGTCATTTCCGCTGGCTCTCAAGGCCGCGTCCACACTTCTCCGGATGAATTTGAAAACGGAGGCCGCTTCACTCTGAAAACGCATCAAATGTTTTCCGTCCACACTACGCCGGAGAAATTTGAAAACGCAACAAACACCGGTCATTTTGGATTTGTGTTTGAGGAAAACTCGGCCAGGGGAATTTAACCTCGTCCTTTTCGAAAAGCTTCGTTTTCAAAATGTTTTCTGAGCCCACTAAAACGAAAAACCGGCGTTTTCAAATTCTTACGGTTTCAAGAGCGTTTTCGAAAAGCTCCGTTTTCGTGACGGATTAGTATGGACGGAAGGCCTAGCAGGAGAAATGAAGTTCCGTTTTCAAATTCCTCCGGAGTTGTGTAAGTTCCTCTTTGCAAAGGTAAACTTTACGTATGCAAACCAAAAAAGAAAACTGCTCTGAAAACGTTGCTAGGCTGTTTGAGCTCGAAGGCCTTTCTGGCAAACAAATTTGCTTGTTTGTTCGAGTTTTTAACGCGAGAGTTCAAATATTGTGAACTGTTTCCATGAATAACAAATTATTTAGACCTACAACGAAGTGTGAATTCGAATTTTATTAAAACAGGTCCAACGGAGTTGCCGGAACCATTGTTGAAGTTTTTACAGATCAAAGTTGCACACAGCACAAACCATGAATAACGGCCACAAAATTTCCTTTCACTTAATTTGTACAGAAGCAGAATATTAAACGTGGGTAAAGACCACAGACTTGAGTCTAAAACCTCAACCAGTACATTGCTCCTCGAATTCTGTTATACTCCTGAAGCTGATCAATTGGACCTGAGGATTAGAAAAATATGAAAAATATGTATGGGTTATTGACCAAGTGTGAGGTCAAGATGGCTGGATATTGGCCAAGTTCTTTTTTTGCGTGTTTATGGACCGAGACGGAGTCGAG